GTCCCACATCCTGCTGGCTTAGTCCTAGGTAAGGGGAGATTTAACTGGGTCTGGGGAAGAGAATCTGTCTCCAGCTTGTATGAGCTGCTTGGAGCTCACAAAATTAAAAATGCCAACTGCAAAGTGTCCACACTGTGTCCCTGGCGTGTGTGTCTGCATCGTTACGTTTGAGTTACCAGTTGCAAACCGAGCGAAGTGATGCATTTAGGTGGGCATGGTTTATGAGTGAAACCGCAGAGACTATGATGAAGTATTGAGATGTTGGTTACAGAGTAAATGCTAGGAGAGCATAGGATGAGCTTCACAAGGAAATAAGCTTGGGCTGGAGCCTTCTGGATGTGCAGAATTTGAATGAGTGGAGTGGTGTTTCCCGACCAGGCTAAGTCATTGACGCTTGGAGCTGTCTTGATGGAGTCTCCCTGGGCTTAGAGATGCCTGCAGGGAGTTCTCCTTTCTTATCTTGGGCAAGAGGACATGTGCCTGCCCTCAAAATCCAGACCTGGAAACGTACTACTCACCAGTTGTCCTTTAGAAAATATCCCTTCTGTATCAAGTCTGGTTTGAGAAAGGTGTCTATGCCCACCAAATACCCTGCTTCCTTGCTCTCATCTTCGTCTCCTCTTAGCCCTGAGCCTAGTGGGAGAAGGGGAAGGTGCTCACTTTGGACAGGAGGCTTCAGGATTCACCTCTGAGATCCCCAGGGGTCACTGATGCTGACCAGCTTTGTAGGGCTTTGTAGGCTTGAAGTAGGGTGGGATGGGATGGATCAGGAAGCCTCGGAGGCTGAGTGAGGTGGCCAGAGGGAACGCTTTCAGTTTCTGGTTATCAGAGGAAAATGCTGGTGAGTCTCTTCTCTGAGGTGGGTTGGGAAATGGAGGCAGCAGAACACAGCATGGGTCAGTTGGGGAGAAGGGTCTTCACTGTGAGATTCCTAGACTTTGTGTTCCAGACTGCCGACTCAGATCTGAATGCATCCGCACCTTACCTGTGCTTAGCTGTGGAGCCTCTGACCAAGAGCCTGCTCTCCTGTATCCCTGTGTCACCTTCCCTCCTGCAGTGCAGACTCACCAGCCATGCTCCCACCTCTGGCTCCACCTCACCTCCCAGCCCTCTTCTTCATGCTGTGGTAGCCTGGTGCAGCTGACCAGGGGAAAATGGTATGGGTCGTACTGAGGACGGCTGAGGGGATTGCTGAGAGGAGCTGGGCCCTCCCTAGATTCTTGCTGTGGACAGGACTCAAGAAGAATGAGAATACGAGCCACTCAGTAGGTTGCATGAGAAAGAGGGGACTGAGAATCCCTATCAGCCTGTATGGGAATTTGAAGAAATGGCGGGAGGAGTCTTTTGGTTAATGTCTAGTTGTTGTTAGGGGCTATCAAGTCGACTACTACTCAAAGCAACGCTATGAAGAACAGATGTGAACCTTGCCTTGTCCTGTGCCATCCTCATCATCTCTGATATACTAGAGCCCATTGTTACAGTCACTGTGTCAATCCATCTAACTGAGGATCTTCCTCTCTCTCGCTAGCCCTCCACCTTTCCAAGCATGATGTTCTTTTCTAAGGACCAGCACCTCCTAGCAATATGCCCATAATATGTGGGATGAAGCTTTATCATCCTTTCCTTCAAGGAGCACCTTGGCTCCTTTTTCTTCAAGATGTATGTGTTTGTTATTTTGGGGTACTCAGGCTAAAATGGGGCTTCCTGTTTTCTTCTCCCTTCCCCTCACTCCTTCCACAGCCCCTCATCCTTCTTTCTTCTCTCTACAGATGGGACTCAGGTGAGCCCGGGCACCCACTATCTTCCTGGCACAGGTAAGAGACCTTAAAGAGGTTGTAGGGGAATAGAAGATGAGGGACGGATAGGCCACAAGAGGCTGAGGAGTTGGAGAAGCAAAGTAGATAGCTGGTCGACCAGGGCTCTGGGAGGCTGTGGTCTTGGGAAGGGGTAAGGGGTGGGGACTAGAGAGGCAACTCCATATCCAGACTGTATCCCGCACTAGGCAGCACAACAGGAAAAGGAAAGACAGGGCATTCTTTTGGCCCTTGGTGGGTGTAGTGAACAGGAAGGAAAGTCGGGAGCTGATATTTATATTCAGACCTCTGCCTCACCTCAGGCACTGGGCCAGGCATGGGCTGGTGTGTTGACTTAGTCGGTTCTCACACCAACCCTGCAAGGTGGATGGAAGTCTTTCCTGGAGGCTGAAAGGCTCAGTAGAATATGGTGGGCGAGGACCCTGATCTTTACTCTTGCTGGCCTGAGCCCCCTCTGTTGTGAGCCTGTCTGGGAGAGGATTAGAGTGGACCTCCTGCTGGTGGCCTTGGATGTGCCCAAAGGCTGGGACTGGAAGAGGCTGCCCCTTCCTTACCTGTTATCCACCTTGAACCCACTCAGTGCAGGTGCGTAGCCTGATATCTAGTCACTGCATCCAGCAAGGAGAGATGGAAGGCCAGGCCTTGCTTTGGTTCTGGCTTCCCCAAAGCATACCAAAATGGGGAGGAGACAGGGACACACAAATAATAAGAGAAATAATGGTGGAATGCAGTACGTGGCCATTGTCAAATGAGGGATGAGTGATTGATGATTTCATCCATTAGTTCTGGAAACATTAACGCCTATGTGCCAGAGTATTGTCTCTGGCATTTTTAAGAGTACACAAATTCATTCATTTGACCCAGATTTATTGAGTGCTTTTTTTGTGCTGGGCAGGGGCAGGTGGTTTGAATCCAGCAGGTGCTGCACAGGAGAAACATGGGTAGTCTCCTCCCATGTGCTTTACACCTCCTGAAAACCCCCTGGATGGTCAGCTATGAGTTGGTTCCAACTTGGCAACAATGAACTTGAGTTTATCGTGTGGTAGGGAGCCCTGGGGGGCGGAAGTCAGTAGGGAGTTTAGCTGCTGACCCAAAGGCCGTGCTTGTCTGGCTGTTTAATCCACTAGCAGCTCCATGGAAGGATAATGGACACTCTCCTCCCATGTGATTTACAGCCGCCCCAGACCTACTGGGGAAACAGCTGTGAGTCAGTTCCAACTCACCAGCAGTGAGTTCTGAGGTTATTTGGTGGATCCTGGGGATAATGCATTGAAGAAAACCAAGTCCCTGACCTATGAAGCTTAACTCGGAGATAGTTCCTGCCCACAAAGGTCATATAGTGCCATGCAGCGGAAAATGAGATTGGCATCCAGGAGAGGGAGATACCCTGGATGTTGGGCTGGGCCAGGGGAAAGGAAGGGCTCCAGCTGGGCGTTGAAGAAAGTATAAGGTTGGAAAATTAGAATGTGGGAGTGAGGTTAGGACAGCACAGGCAAGGGGTTCCTTCATTCATTAGCCGGAAAGCCTGTCAGGAAGCCAGGAGCACTGAGGGCCTAGTGGGGTTATGTTGGCTTCCAAGACCCAGATTGAAAGGTGAATTTGGATCTGAAGAGGATGCACAAATAGGGGTGGGAGCCACCATATGCTGCCTGCAGACCCTCACAGTGGGCCCAGCGGGTTCATAGTCTCTAGAGTCTAGAGGGTCATGGCAGGCAGCTTCTTGCTGGGCTGCCCTCTCGTGGCCACCTCACAGGGAATGTTAGCATAGGAAGCCCCTTAGAGATGACTTACTGTAAGTGCGTTTCCTTTGGCCAGTGAGAAGCTCTCTCAAGGAGAGGTGATTTCTTGTGAGGCCACGGCATGTTAGAAAGTTGCTGGGGAAACAGCACTGGTCTTGGCCAGATGGAATCCATGTTCTGTTTAGCTAGGTGGTCTTGGACAGTCCCATGCCCCTCTGAACCTCAATTTTCTTATTTTGGGATAATAAAATAGTAATCCAAGTTCCTAGGGCGGTTATGAGAGTGAAGTGAAAGGCTTTGCAGGTACTTGTGCCCGTATGCCACAGATTATGATTAGTAATGGTCAGAGGGGCCTGGATGCTGAGCCTCCTGACCCCTGAGTGATCTTTCTGTGTCGCTGTTGTGCCCTTCCGGTTCCTCTCACCCTACCCAAAGAACAGCCTGTGGTCACGCTGTTGGGATGTCCAACTCTAAAAGCAATTGAAGGCAGCCTCTCTTATCACCCCTCAGGCCTTCCTTGTCGTAGGACAGCCAACTCCCACTCTCACTATGTCCCCCTTTCCAGGGGACCCCTTGCAACAACCCCACCTCTGAATGTCTCACACATCTCTAGCTGCTCAGCCCAGCCTGGCCGCGTGACACACATGGGCAGAGAATCCGCTCTGGAAGCTCATTATAAATAGCACCTGCACCCACGGCCTTGGCAGGGTGTGCCTGGTGTGGGTGCTCAGGACACTTGAGAAGGGGAAGCTGAGCCTGTCGTCCCTACCACGCAGCCCTACACAAAGGACACCTGAGTGGACTCCATGGCCATGTGGGCCCAGTGAGCTGAGGAACCTGTGCTGCTAGCAGGGCCCAGCAGGCCAGGGGTGCAGGTCACGGTGGCTATATGTTTTAAGGCATTCAAATGGTGGCAGCTCTGAGAGGGCCCATGAAGGTTGGAGATGAAACAGAGTAGGACTGTTTGCCTGCCGGATGGCTGCCTTGGAGCCTAGTTCGTTAGAGGGCAGCTTAGCCAAATCCTCCCTTTGCAGGGCCAGGGAGGTGGGAGAGGGCAAGGTCCAGGGTGAATATGGCAGGGGTGCAGCTGGCACTGTATCTTTCAGCGAAATGAAGGTGTCAGCCCTGCACCTGAGAAGCAAGGTAATTTGTGGGGAAGCACTATGCTTGGAGTCTCAGACTAAATTTTACCACCCCAGTGACAGACTGTAGCCGCCTGCCATCCATATGACCTCCTTTCTTCTGGGTAAATGAAATTGGTAATACGTCCCTTGCAGGACTGGGGTGAAGATGACATGGGGAGAAGGCTTCATGAGGTGTCTTGCCGTTGTTAAGTGAGCCTGAGGGCAGCTGACTAGGTTGTAACCATGCATCTCAGGCAAACTTTCCAGCCTACCTGCCTCCATCTCTCCCTCTGTCCACAGGCCACCTCACGCCCAGCGCAGACAAGCCAGGCCCTCAGCTCCAGCCCATGGATCTTCGAGTGGGCCAGAGGCCCCCGGTGGAGGCCACTCCAGAGCCCTCGCTGCTGGCCCTGCAGCACTCGCAGCGCCTGCACCATCACCTTTTTCTACCAGGCCTTCAGCAGCAGCGCTCAGCAGAGCCCCTGAGGGTAAAAACAAACTTCCCCCCAAACACCAGGCCCGCCCCTGCCCACCCCCCTGTAGCCTTCCCAGACATTCAGCTCAGCTCTTCAATTCCTTGCTCCTTTCTTCCTGGGATGTTGGCTCTTCCCACAGCTCCCAGTGGACACGCCGATGCCCAAGCTGCAGATGGGGCAGCAGGAGCAGGAACTGCGGCAGCTTCTCAACAAGGACAAGAGCAAGCAAAGTAAGGAGGGCTGTGTGGTGGGGGCGGAGCGGGCCGGAGGGTCACAGTGTGCTGGCCACCAGGTGTCCCTTTGCTTGTTGGGCTCTGCTTGTTAACGTGGGTGTCAGCTTCACAGAAGAGCTGGCACCTCCCACTCAGCAGGAACACCTTGTACTGGGGGTGTGGAGAGGGCAGTGGGCAGAAGATGTGCCAGGGCAGAGAATGTGCCAGGAGGCCACCCCTTCTGCAACCCTACTGGACTCAGGGTTCTTCTCCTGCGCAGGTGCTGTAGCCAGCAGTGTGGTTAAACAGAAGCTGGCAGAGGTGATTCTGAAGAAACAGCAGGCAGCCCTGGAGAGAATAGGACATCCAAGCAGCCCCAGCATTCCCTACGGGTACCTCCCTCCCTCCTCCTGCTCCGACTTGTCCCCACTGTGCCCCATCCCCCTTAGATACCTATGAGCACACACACTCACCCCCTTTGCCTCCCCAGGTACTCATCATTAAAACCTTCTCTTTAGCCTCTAACCATAAAAAATCCCAATGTCCCTCCAAGCTAATACCAACCTTCTTACCTGTCATTCTGTCTCTCACCCCAGTGAGGCCTTCCTCCCTATATGCACACACAACACATATGCACACATACACCCATAGCACGCACACACTCCACATCACGTGGTTATATACTTCACACACATGCACACACACATCGTACACACATACACACACCCTGACACACTGGCCTTTTCCACACAAGTTCCTTTTCCCTTTACTCTTTGACCTGACACAGAATGCCCTCGTTCCTAAAGGAAGCTCTTATTGGATGTGAAGAACAGGGTCCTCAGTGCGGCCAGCCCAGGCTCCCTGAGTCCCTGGGCTTTGTGCATAGATCTGTGTAAGGACAGCAGTGCCTGACCCGCTGCTGCCACCTGGAGACGGCCTCATTCCTGGGCCCACATTGTCAGGCCTGTGCCCTGCTGTGGCCCCTGGCAGAGACAGTGGTGAGAAGGCAGGTCTGCAGGGTCTCAGGAGCCTGGAGTGGAGCAGGTGCAGTGGTTCTGAAAGGGCCTGTGCAGAGTGAGGTGGCCTTGGGCCTCAGGGCTGCCTGGCCTCTGAAGCAGCCTGGTATTCACTCCATAGACCTCTGGAGCCCTTGGAGACAGAAGGAGCTACACGCACCATGCCCAGCAGTTTTCTGCCCCCAGTTCTCAGCCTGCCCAGTGACCCCCCAGAGCACTTCCCCCTGCGTAAGACAGGTGAGCTGGACAGACACCCTTCAGGAGAGCCACAGGGAAGGGCCTTGGGTAGCAGGGCAGGAGTACAGAGGGGTGGACAGCTAGAGGGCTGAGCTGGGACTGGAAAAGGCCAGCATGTGTGTGTTTCTGTGTGGCTTTGCCTTCTCTTACATGAATCCAGAAGCAGTGAGGGGGCATCAGGGGCTAAGGGGCAGAGGAGGGAACAGTGGGACTGAGTAAAGCTGGCGCTCCTCACAGTCTCTGAGCCCAACCTGAAGCTGCGCTACAAACATAAGAAGTCCGTAGACCGGAGGAAGAATCCACTGCTGCGCAAGGAGAGTGAACCACCTAGTCTGCGCAGGAGGCCGGCAGAGACCCTTGGGGGTGAGGAGCAGGGTGGGCAAGGGTGACATCCTCAAAGCTAACTAGTCTTGTCCCTTTGAGTCCCCTCTACGAGACAACGGTTTATCCTCAGGGCTCTGTGTGTGGATGGCAGGGGTGTGGCCTACACAGAGCTTCCTGGCCAGGAGACCCAGTAAGGGCTGAAACACAGCCATGCCCGATGACTAAAATGACAGCTGCTCAGAAGGGACACCTTCACAACAATTGTGCCGGTGTCCTGTGGCCACTGGGGGCCCGCTATCTTCTTGCCCTTCTGGGAAGCAAGCAGGAGGCCAGGGGATCTGTTCTTGGGTGTCCAGGGCCAGGGACAGTTTCTCTCTCCTGTACGTTCCTGGCCTCTGACTACATGTCCTTTCTCCCATCCCCAGACTCGTCCCCCAGTAGCAGCAGTACGCCTGCATCAGGGTGCAGCTCCCCCAATGACAGTGAGCACGGCCCCAACCCCATCCTGGGCTCAGAGGTGAGGCTTCGCTGGCCCTAGGCCCTCTGGGGGAGGTCTGAGGCTCAGCTCTGCTTTGCAGCCCCCACTCAAGTCTTGGGGGGCTCTGGGGTAGTTGTCTGGGAGCGGTGACCCCTCGCCCTGCTCCCATGGCAGGCGCTCTTGGGCCAGCGGCTGTGGCTGCAGGAGACCACTCTGGCTCCATTCGCCTGGCCTGCAGTGTCCTTGCTGCCCACAATCACACTGGGGCTGCCCGCCCCTGCCCGGGTGAGTGGCCAGGGTGTCCCTCTTCCCACGCCAGGCTCCTGCAGCTTCACCCCAGCTACCTGTCTTTCCCAGATCCTGTCCCTCCTTACCCTTACTGCTGTCTCCCTCCTCCACTATCCTCCCCTGTGATGGCATCTCACCTCTTCCCCTCCCCTAGGCTGATGGGGACCGCAGGATGCCTCGGGTCCTGGGGAGCGCCCATGCTCCCTTTTTCCTGCCCCCTGGCCTGGAGACCGAGGCTGGGGGTGCCTTGCCGTCTCGCCCGCAGCACATTCTCTTCCTGGACCCCTCAGTCTCTCATGCTCCACTGCTGACTGGTGAGTCTCCCTGTGTCCTTCTGAGGGCCACGCTTTGGGAGGGGCCCCACCTTCCTGCCTGCTCTCCAGCCCTCTGTGCTCCTGGATGTCTCTCTGCTTTGTCCCCACACCTCACCCCGTGACTTTGCTTCCTTCATTGCTCCCTAGGGTTCCCATCTTACACTCCCACCCCATTCCTTCCAGTGCCTGAGCTTGTGCCCTTCCACTTGGGCCAGTCCTTATTGACCACCGAGCGGCTGTCCAGGTCAGGTCTCCACTGGCCACTGAGCCGGACCCGCTCAGAGCCTGTGCCCCCCAGCACCACCACCCCCTTACTGCTGGGCCCCCTACAGCCCCGCCTGGAGCGGCTCAAACCTCACCCCCAGCTGATCAAGGTGAGGGAAACAGGGTATGGGCGTTGATGAGGGATGCTTAAGTGGGCTTCTAGAAGCTGACTGGAGAAGAGGGGTTTCAGGAGGGCAGGGCCCTTGAGGACTAGAAAGAATGTTTGGTTCTGGGGTCCTAGCTGCATGGTTGCTTGGCTGGAGTCCTAACAGCTGAGTGGCTTGGCCCACAATCCCCCAGCCCACACCCCTTGTTCCAACTCAGCCCAAGTGTCTCCCTTCCCCAGAGACCAGCCAAGCCGAGTGAGAAGCCCCGACTGCGGCAAATACCCTCATCTGAGGACCTTGAGACAGATGGCAGGGCTGTGGGGCCAGTGGGGGACAACAGCCTGGACCACAGGGAATCAAGCCAAGGGCAGCCAGAGGCTAGAGGCCCATTTCCTGCACAGCAGCACCAGCAGGTACGAGAGTGTCCATGTGCCCCTCAGGGTACCCCTTCAGAAGACCCTGAGGCACAAGGGTAAGGCAGAAAGGGAGGGAGGTGTGCATAGACAGCTTCAGGATCCATGGTGGCCTAATGTAGGTTCATTTATGCTACGTCCATATTAAGGTGCGCACACACGTGAGCACAGACACATGCATACAAACATATATAGGCACATGAACATGCATACACATACACAAACACATGCACATGCTCCAGCAGCCGGCCAGGCTTAGCGGATGTTCCTGTCCCCTTCCAGCAGTGAGGCTAGCCTTTCATGGAACCAAGCAAGCACACTCCTATACTAGCACTTCAGTTTGTGACCTGTGCCCCAACTCTGGGAAGCTGGCTAAGGCAAGAGTGGCTCAGAGTCAGGCTCCAGCACTTCAGCCTCATAGTTAGCTCAGAGCTAGTCTGGCTGGCCACAGATCACACCCAGACAGCCAGTCGCGCCTGCAGGTCCCATGTTTTTGAGCAGTTGTAGTTCTAGGAGGTGAGGAGATCCTGGTATGAGCTGGGCTCTTCACTTCAGAGGCTGAGTGGTTAGTCTGTGAGGTAGACCTTTGGGGACTTATGAGAGCAAGAGGCTCAGAGAGTCAGGCAAAGCCCAGCAGAAAGGCAGAACATTCTGGAATTTTAACAGCTCCAGGTCTTCCTGGAGGTTGTTGGACTGCCGACAGGAGCCGCTGGAGCAGGGTCCCTCTTTCCCTCAGATGTTCCTTTGGGAGCAGCAGCAACAGCGAATAGCAGGGCGCCTCCCCCGAGGTGGCCCTGGGGACCCCGTGCTGCTTCTCCTGGCCCAGGGTGGACACCGGCTCCTGTCGAGGACTCAGTCTTCCCCAGCTGCACCAGCCTCAGAGCCAACTAGCCAAGCCCTTGACCTTCCCAGCTCTGAGACCCCCACCAGTACCCTGCGTTTCACCACAGGTATGACCAGGATTTGGGTGAGGGGCTGAGTATCAGGGGGCTTGGGGACATGAAGGTCTGTGTCATGATACTACTCAGGACATTCTTCAAGCTTTCTTGGCATTGCTTAATCCAAACAACTTTCCATGAATTTGCAGGGTAGGGAGTAATTTTGCTCTTATAGGTGAGGAGACTAAGACTGAGAGAACCTGTGACCAGATAGCTAGCTGGTGCTCAAGTCAGGAAGTGTGAGTCTCCTGACAGTACTTTAAGATGATATGGACTGTTTTTCTGATTGTAAAATTAGAACAAAGTATAATAGACATTTTGAAGAATACAGAAAAGCATGAAAACAAAGTAAAACATAATGTCTGTCACTCAGAAAACCCCTCTTATAATTTACTATATTTTGTTTCACTTTTTATTCCAGCCATATGTACATGTACAAATATTGTATCCACATAACTACCTTTTACTTATATTGCCCATCTTTCTCCCAGGAAGCAACTGGTGGATTCCAACCACCTGCCTGTGGGTTGGCATTGGAAGTCCTTGCCCACTAGGCCACCAAAGCTCCCTACAAAAAAATGTCAGTTCTTTAGTATTTCACATGGTATTTTGTTTTTCCATAAACATTTCTCGTTAGTTGGACATTTAGATTGTTCCTGATCCTTCTGCATTTTAATCTCCATGTACGTAACTCTGTACTCACCCCTGGGATTATTCCCTGAGCATTAAGTGGTAACATTCCTGGATCAAACAGTCTGAGCATCTCTAGGCTCTTGTTGCCCTGCGATGCCATGAACCAACCCCAGCAGCACTCAGCAGCCCTCACTAGTGGTTCCTCTACTCTGTGCAGCTGTGAGCTGGGCAGAAATAGTTACTATCCTTACGTGGTCCAGTGACATTGTGAGGCATCGTAGCTCCTGGATTTGGGGTTTCCTCGGAACTCTTTCTCCTCTCACTGCTTCAGGTGGCTTCTAAGGGGTCATGACAGCCAGGGTAAGACCCCTGACATTTGGCCTTATTCTGAGCATTTGTGAGGAGCTTGATGTGTCACATCACAGGCAGAGTCTCAGGGTGTTAGGAGGCTGTGCCTGTGTGCTGTCCAGGTGGTGGTGCAATGCTGGCGTGAGCGTGAAGTCTGAGTTCCCTGGGTCCACATGGAGGGCATGGGCCAGGATGAAGCATGCGGGATTGTGCGATGCCAGGGAGACCTCCATGCCTGACTTCATGGGGGTATTGGCTGTAGGGGTACAGAGGGTACTCTCCACAGCTCATGGCAGGGTGGGGTGGGGCCTCTCTCCTGGCAGGGCTGGTCTATGACTCGGTAATGCTGAAGCACCAGTGCTCCTGTGGAGGAGACAACAGCCGGCACCCAGAACACGCTGGCCGCATCCAGAGCATCTGGTCCCGGCTGCAGGAGCGGGGCCTCAGGAGCCAGTGTGAGGTGAGGAGTGGGGGGACCTAGAGTCAGAGGGGAGAGTGATGGAGGGCGGGGAGAGGGCTTCACAGCCAGTGTGAGGTGAGGGGGCCTGCGGGGTCAGTGGTATTGGACAAGAAGGACATGAGCAGGAGATTAGAGCTTGTGGGCCCTCACTGACTCCTCAGTATCTCCGTGGCCGGAGGGCCTCCGTGGAGGAGCTGCAGTCAGTCCACTCGGAGAGTCACGTGCTCCTTTATGGCACCAGCCGCCTCAAGCTGGACAACGGGAAGCTGGCAGGTAGGTAGGGCCCACTGAAGCATCCCTGTGCGCCCAGCGCAGCCCACCAGCATTCTGGCCTCCCTGTCCCCTCTGCCTTCCCCCCGATTGCTTTCCTCATAACCCCTGCCTAGACCCTCTTTTCAGGGCCAGATGCTAAGTGAATTCACATTCTTGACAGGGCTCCTGGCACAGCGGATGTTTGTGAGGCTGCCCTGTGGTGGTGTTGGGGTAAGTGTGCCCAGGGTTGGTTCCCTAGTGGGCATTCCAAAGGCTCTCTGAGCCCCTCTGTTCAGTTCTTCAGGCCCAGCCCCTGTTTTCTTGCTCTTGGGGTTCTGCCACAGTAGGTAGACCGGGGAGTTCCGTGTGATACCACTGTTAGCCAGAAGTCCTGCTGGTGTGTGAGCACCTGTGGAGTCTGTCCTGGACCCATTAATGTCTCCTGAATGTGGACTGCAGGGCCCCACACTTAGAAGGTGTCTTACAGTTGAATGAGAAAGAGCATTTGAGACTCAGAAGTCAGGCCAAGATTGGGGCCTAGGATCATCTCCCTTTATCAAGCCCTCTGTCTGGACATTGGCCATGTCACAACCCCAGTAGGCTCTGCCTTTCCTGGAGGGGACTCCCAGGCTGGGGCCATGAAGGTGTCTCAGGTCTTGGTAAACCGACATGGCCCAACCCCAGGACACAGCCCTTTACTGCCCGGCTTTGCCTCCTCACTTTCCTTCAGGAGCTTCCTGCCTCCTCTGGCAATGCTCTCCTTGCCTGAAAGGGTCGTGCAGTGGTGTCCCCAGACAGGTGTGGAGACAGGGGATGGAGCCCAGCTCTTGAGGGAAAAGGAACTGTAGCTGGTGGGAGGGCTGATTGGGAGCCAGCCAGTGCTCTGTTCACAACTTCCCATTTCTTGCCACTTTCTGATTTTTCCAACTGTTGTTGCTTCTGTTTTCTCCTCCCTCCTCTCCCTCTCGTCTTTCTCTTTCCCTCTCTTTCTCCAGCCTCTTGCGACTCTCTCTGCCTTCCTCGCCTCTCTTGGTCCGCCTCGCCCTCCCCATCTCCCCATCATGCCCCCCCGGCCCCTCCCTAGCCTTGAGGCCCAGGGACTGGGTTTGGGGGGCCTCCCAGCCTGGGCTAGGGGCCCTGAGTGGAAGACAGTGGTGCAGACGGCCCTTCCAGCTCCGACCATCCCGAAGGGCCTGAGCAGAGTCAGCTGGGGCTTAAAACCCCCTCCCGGCCCAAACCCCAAGTCCCGCCCAGGTAACGCCATGCCCCCTTCCCCGAGTGGGGAGGCAGGCGTGATGCTGTTGGCAGAGTGCTGGCCAGATAAGGGCTGGTGCTGGGACTGAGGCTGGGAAGGAGCCATGCTGGGACTGGGGACACAGGAGGCCTTGCCTTGGGGCGGTGGGGCACTGGGGAAGCTCTCTGCTCCTGGGGTCCTGGCCATGGGGTGGGCACTGCCCCATGGGCCCTGGTGCCGGTGGGAGGCCCTGGATGATGCGGGCCCTGACTCTGACCCCGCAGGTGGACACTGACACTATCTGGAATGAACTGCACTCCTCTAATGCAGCCCGCTGGGCCGCAGGCAGCGTCACGGACCTCGCCTTCAAAGTGGCTTCTAAAGAACTAAAGGTAGGGAGTTGGTGGAAGTGGGCAATCGACGAAGGAGGCAGCTGTGCAGGGCGTGGGGACAAATCCAACAAGGCTGTCTGCGGCTCGAACTCTTGCTCCTCCTGGATGCCAACGAGAGTTTTGGGAAGGAAATCAAGGGCTCTGGAACCAGAGTAAGATTTCAACTGTAGGCTCATGTTTCCTGGTTGTTGTGTACTGTTTAACTGGAACCAAATTCAAAACTGACCCTCCAGCGGGTTTTAAGAGAGTTTTAATCGCACCTAAGAATATTGCCCATCTTTCTTCCGCGGAGCAGCTGGTGGATTTGAATCACATGCCTTCGAGATTGCAGCCCAACTCCTTACCACTAGGCCACCAGAGCTCCCTTGTTTCTTGATAGCAAATGAAACAGCCATGATCTTGGACTCTTGGTCTTTAAAAGACGCAGGGTCCTGATGATCCAGGACCACAGGCAAGGATAGTTCTCTCAAAGTCAGTTGACTCTTCCCAGTGCTTAGTTTATGTAAAATTGGGTTGTGCTCATCTTCAGGGGTACTGGGCTGGGCCCCTTCCGGGGTCTGGTCCTAAGATCAACTGTCAGAAGCTGTGTTGTCTCGAAGCTTTTAGCCTGAGTGGTCAGGGCTTTGCAGTTAAGTGGGCAGCCCTGAGAGCAACTTGAAAGACCAGAGAAGAAGGTTAGTGGACTGAGTTTAAGTTGATGGAGATTAGGAACAGCTTGAAACAGGAGGATGAAAATGGTTGCACAATGTGAAGAATGTAATTAGTGTCACTGAACTGTACATGGAGAAATTGTTCTGCTGTGTATATTTTGAACAATAACAAAGGCATTTCTTTAAAAACAGTAAATAAAGTGCAGCCCTAGTTTCACAATTGTGGCTCCACCTTTTATATTTTATAACCAGGCAGCTTTGGGCAAGCAGCTTCATCTCATCAAATCTTTAGATTCCTGCCACCTGTCAACTGGTGAGCATCAAAATATTTACCTCATAAGATGCTGTGAGAGTTAGATCACATTTACCTCACTGAGCTGCTGTGAGGATGAACTCAGGCTTTAGAAAGTGTTAGCACAGTGCCAGGCTTGTGGTTTTTGCTCTGTAAATGGTGGCTGTTATGACAGGGCGGTAGCAGTCAGGGCATGCCAGAACTGGGTCTGTGTGCGTCTCCAGCCTGAAAGCAGAGGACAGCAATAAGTGTGGGGCCGAGTGCTGGGCACTTCCCATACAGCCGGGCACAGTCAGACCTGTCAACAGCTGTCGCTCATTCCCAGAGGAGGGGCCTGGGGGCGGGAGCCGGTTCTCACAGATGTGAGTCAGAGGCTGGCTGTTTGACCATTGTTCTTTCTGTTTTCAGAATGGTTTTGCTGTGGTACGGCCACCAGGACACCATGCAGACCATTCCACAGCCATGTAAGACCTGGGAGCGGTCTGGGGAGGGTAATTTTAGGCTTGAACAGCATAGGGTGGTTGGGAGGCTCCATGGGCCCTCTCATGGGTACATTCTCCCCTTTTGTCCTAAACTTCCTCCTGAGGCTGGAGAGGTGAGGTCATGGGAAAGGAATGGGACTTTTCTCTCCTTCCAGGGGCTTCTGCTTCTTCAACTCAGTGGCCATAGCCTGCCGGCAGCTGCAACAACAAGGCAAGGCCAGCAAGATCCTCATTGTGGACTGGGTAGGTCTTGGCTCCTGGCTCCCACAGATTGGAGAGGCCAGAGGGAAGAGGCCTGGGCCTCGTGTCAGAAGATGTGGTTCAGATCCTAGTTCTGCATTAGCCTCCCTGAACCTGTTCCTCCTGTGGAAAATGGGGTGAAGATAGTACCTACCTCGCAGGGCTGTTGGGAGGCCCAGAGGTGGTGGTTTATGGTGTTCCTAGAGTCAGCAGGTCTCATTTGCATTGACTTTAGGCCTCTATTGACTTCTTTCAGCAGACTTATTAATTCCTGCGTTTACCCTACAGGTAGTAACAACAACAATCGTTAAAAATTACATCAATACACCTCTAATCACATCTAGATACTAGTGGTTTTCCTTTTGCTGTACTGTCATTACTCCTGAGACTTATCCGGACCATATTTGGTTGTTTTACAAATGAGAAGATAACACAGAGAGATTTACCTGCATACAGACAAGCACCTAGGGAGTGATGAGACAGGAATTTGCGCCCAGCTGGTTAGCTCCTAAGAACATGTGTACGGAGCCTTATAGCTTCTGTGCTGACAGCTATGAGAGGTGCATTTCTAAGCAGAAGTTGAGATGAGTGGCGAAACTTTCCACACCAGGGCCTCTGGGTGGTCTTGGGAGTGACCAAGTGCAGGGCTATAGCCTTTCCCTGGAGGGCTGACCCTTGGAATTTTTACCAGCCTTGAAACCCTTCTAACATGCCCCAGCCTCCTGCTCACTGCTTGCTGCCTTCCCTTATCTCCCACTCTTGTCCCTGCATAGGATGTTCACCATGGCAACGGCACCCAGCAGACCTTCTATGAGGACCCCAGTGTGCTCTACATCTCTCTGCATCGCCATGACAACGGCAACTTCTTCCCAGGCAGTGGGGCTGTGGATGAGGTAGCTTTGTGGGGTGCGGTTGTCTGTGTCTCCCCACCCCATTAATTCTCTCTTTTGGTGCTCACTCAGCCTCTGTTATGAGAGCTGGGTGATCCTGGGCAGACTCTGAACTTCAAGTTCTCCATCTGGGAAATAAAGTGACTGGACACACTGAACTTAGCATGTGGGGATTCCTCTTCAGGAATCTGAATTCATATCTCACTTTTTTATTTCTAGGTGGGAACTGGCAACGGTGAGGGCTTCAATGTGAATGTGGCCTGGGCTGGAGGGCTGGACCCCCCTATGGGGGACCCTGAATACCTGGCTGCCTTCAGGTAGGTGCTCTGGGGACCCAGAGATGGCCAGACCCAGTAAGGTCTTCTTTTCCTATCCCTTTTCCAAAAGCAGCCAGGCTGGAAGTGTATAGCTGTCTCCTCAGCCTGACCCAACACTAGGTTAGTCCAGGGATGAAAAAAGGTAATTACTGGACCTCCTCAAAGTACTGAAGGGCAGTGGTGTCACTCTAGAGACTAAGGTGTGCCTGATACAGGCCATGAGAGTGAAAAAGTCAAACAGTGTTTTAGCTGCACATTGCCAAGATCCAGTGCAGAACTGATTTCTGGAAGTTGGATAGAGAAGAGCGATCATAGCTGCCCCATTTAGGTCAAGAAAGCTGCTGGGGGGACAGGGTAGTGAGGTAGGGGGCGAGGGCTGAGCTTTGAGCAGGATGTGAGGAACTTTAATTGATGGAAGAAGCAGAAGAACAGATGATAACTATCTGGGGAGGTTACCTAAAAAGCCATACTTACAGCAAATGATTGTTCACACTATTATAGACCTATCTGAAAAGTTGAACCACCAGGATGAGTTCAGGTCCAGGTTTGAAGGGTGTCTAAAGGCCATATCTTAGAGGTTCCATCAGTCTTGCATGGTAACCAGGAAGCCTGGTAATTTTTATTATTTTGAGTTTTGTTCTCCATCTTTTTTTCACAGTGTCCTAGGGCCTACTAGTATGACCCCTTTCAGAATGGTTGCTATGTGTCAGAAAGCTGAACAATGACTAGGGATGATAGAATAGATGCTTTTGAGCTGTGGTACTGGAGAAGAGTGTTGAATATACCACAGACTGCTAGGAGAACAACAAACAGGTTTGTCCTGGAGAAGGTGAAACCCACCTGCTCCTTGGAGGCAAGGATTCTGAAGCTTTGACTGACATACTTTGGGCATGTTGCAAGGAAGAACCAGTCCTTGGAAAGGGACATCGTGCTTAGAAGGGTTGGAGGGACAGTGCAGGAGAGGAAGACCCTCTATGAGATGGATTGATTCAGTGACTGGGGTAATGGGGGGTAGGTGTTTCAGAGACAATAAGGTTGGCACAGGATAGAGTAGGTTTCAGGGCTGTTGTACATAGGGTCACTATGAGTCACAAGCAACTTGATGGCACATAACAACAACAACAACAAGAATATCATTGGTATGAGCACTCAGAAGATCAGGAGATGTATTGAATTGAGAGAGTCTGCAGTCAGGAACGTATCCAAACTACTGAGGAGTAATCAGACACTGAATTCAGATTGAAGACTAAGATGCGTTTGAGTCAGACATAGTCTTTTCAGTCACTTACTATGCTGCTGAGAGCTAGACAATGAATAAGGATGACAGAAGAATTGATGCCTTTGAGCTGTGGTGATGGAAAGGAATACGGACTATCTCATGCTCTTGTTATGTTCTATTCAATCACCTGAGGCTCAATGGCAACCCTAGGTACTCTGAACTCTGCTCTACACTGAGATAGTCTCACTGTCTCTGACACACCTACCCCCATTATCCTAGTTACTGTGTCAATCCATCTCATCTGGGGTCTTCCTCGCCTTTGCTCTCTCAACCCCCTTCCAAGCATGATATTCTCCAGGGACTGGTCCCTCCTGGCCATATGCTCAGAGTATTTGAGACAGAGCTTTAAAATCCTTTCCTTAAAGGAGCAGCCTAGTTTCACCCTCTCCAAGATAAACCTGCTTGTTCTCTTGGCAGTCTAGGGTATGTTCAAGAATCTTCTTTAGGACTGCAACTCAAAGGCATCAATTCTTCTGTCATCTTTGGTCATTGTACAGCTTTCTGTTGCATAGCAAGTGTTTGTGAGGAATGTGACCTGAATCAGGCATCCCTTAGTCTCCAGATTGACATCGTTGCTTTTCAGAAATTTTGAGAAGTCTTTGATAGCAGCCTTCCTCAGAGCAGTTAGTCCTTTGATTTCTTGACTCTTGGTGCCAAGAGTGTTGATTGTGGAGCCCAGCAAGCTGAAAGTGTTAATCTCAGTCTCTTCTCCATCTATCTTGGTGCTGCTATTCGCCCAGTGGTGTGAATCTTTGTCTTCTGCATGTTGAGCTTCAATCCATACTGAAGACTGCAGTTCTTGACCTCCTGTAGCAAATGCTTCAGGTCTCCCTCTGTTTCTACGAGCAAGGTTATACCATCTGCATAAGGCAGGTTGTTGATGTGTCTTCCTTCAATCATGATGTCACATTCCTCTTCATAAAGTCCAGCCACCTGAATGATCTGTTTTACATATAAATTAAAAAGGTATGGAGACAGGATGCATCCCTGATTCACTCCTTTCCTGATTTTGAACTATGCAGTTTTTCCTTGCTCTGTTCTGACCACTACTTCTTGATCCAAGTATGGATTTCACATGAGCCTTATCAAGTGTTCCCATTATTTTCAAGGTTAGCCACAATTTGTTGTGATCCACACAGTGAAATGCCTTTGCAAAGTCAATGAAACACAGATAGATATCCTCTGGTACTCTACTTTCAGCAAAGATCCATCTGATGTTGGCAATAATGTCTCTTGTGCCATGACCTCATCTGCCTGTGTTTCTGGCAGTTCCTTGTCAGTATACTGTTCCAGTCATTATTTAATAGTCTTCAGCAGGATTTTGCTTGTATGTGATATTGTTCAATAATCTCCACCCTCTTTAGGGTCATTCTTTTTTGGAATGGGAGCAGATATGGATCTCTTCCAGTCAATTGGCCAAGTAGTTGTTCTCCAGTTTCTTGACACAACTTGGTGGCACATCCAGGGCTGCATCTTTCTGTTGAAATATGCCAATTGGTATTCCGTCAATTTCTGGGACCTTGTTCTTTGCAAACTCCTTCATAGCAGCTTAAACTGCCTCCTTCATCACCATTGCCTCTTGATCATATGCTGTTTCATGAAATTCTTCTCTGTCAGCCAATACTTTCTAGTACAGCAACTCTGTGCACTCCTTCCATCTTTTAATGCTTCTTGGATCATTCAGTATTCTGCCCATAAAATCCTTAAGTATTGCAATGACCCTTTTGGTTTTCTGGCTCCAGCTCTTTGCACATTTCATTATAATACTTTGCTTTGTCTTCCTGTTGAAAGATTTCCTTTGAAATCTTCTGTTTGCTCCTTAATTTCCTGAATCTTTCCCTTTGCTTTGGTCTGTCTGTGCCCTTGTGCAATATTCAGAGTCGTTGTTGACATATATCTCAGTCTTTTTTCTTCCCCTCTTTTTGCAGTGACCTCTTGCTTTTTTCATGAATGATATTCTTGATATCCTTCCGAAACTCATCTGGTCTCTTTGTTCATTAGTGTTTAAGGCTTCAAACCTGTCCCTCAGATGATTTTTAAATTCAGGTGGGAAAGACTCAATGTCAAATTTTGTTTTTTGTGGATTTGATTTAATTTTCTTTGGCTTTAGTTTGAATTTGCATATGAGTAGTTGATGGTCTGTTCCGTAATCAGCCCCTTGCCTAATTTTTACAACTGATATTGAGCTTCTCCAGGGATTCTTTCCACAGACGTAGTCGATCTGATTCCTGTGTGTACCATCGGGTGAAGTCCATGTGTATAGCCACCATTTACGTTTCTTTCTTTTTTCTTTCCATTTATTTTTCTTATAAAAGGTATTTGCAATGAATCAATCATTGTACAAAATTTAATCATTCTAGCTCCAACCTCATGATAATGTTTCGCCTCACATACTTTGGGTTTGTTGTTAGGAGGGGTTATTCCTTGGAGAGAGACATCATTATTGAAAGGTGGAGGGTCAGTGGAAAAGAAGAAAACCCTCAACCAGATAGATGGATTGATACAATGACTGCAGCAATAGGCTCAAGTACGTCGGAGATGATGAGGATAGCACAGGCTAGGACAGGGTTCAGGTCTGTTGTTCACAAGGTTGCTCTGAGTTGTACTTGCCTAGTTAGCACCTAACAACAACAGTGCTTTTCTTGGGTATTCTCCAGGAGAGCCCACTCTACAGGGACCCTGGGCCAGGAACCTGTTGCTGTTATTGTGTGCCAGAGAGTCAGAACCAACCCATAGCTGAACCTTCAGCCGGTTTTCAGAGGCAGTTAATCGTATGGCAGGAGATTGCTCATCCCTCTCCCATGGAGCAGCTGGTAGTGCTTTCAGGATTGCAGTGCAGCTTCTTGCCCCTAGGCCTGCAGAGCTCCCCTATGGTGGGCCTAGAGCCCTACATTCTGTAGGATACCAAAAGCGACCCTAAAGTTGGGTTGTGGCTGGAGGAAACAGCTATGGGGGCCAGACAAAGGTCATGGATGAAAGAGTGGCGGTAGGCAGCTGACCCGTCAGCTCTCAGCTGGTGAATGGTGGAGTCACATCAGTCTGACGTGAACAGCAAATAAATGCTGAGAGTTTTGTCCCAGAGGCTTAGTGACCAGAGCCCAAGCTGGCCGGCTGTGAGATTGTCCCTGCTCTGTGATCCTGCCTACTGTACCACATAGATAACACTTACGCAAACATTTGCGCTCTCTCTCTCACACACACATACACACACAAGCGCACGTACACATGTTCATATAGTTACACATACACACATTCACACTAACATACACATTGACATATAAACACACATAACAGTTATGTATACATACACTTGCACACACAGAGCGATGCTCACATAAACTCACATGCACAAGTACATTCACACACACATATAATTATGCACATACACACTCATCAACATAGTCATGCCTCATACACTCAGGCACACATTTATCTTTTTTCCTCTGGTGTCCTTCCTCATCTTCTGTCTGCTCCTTGCTCGTTAAGTGCTCTGGTCAGCTGAGTCAGAGGCAGGGAGGTCAGAGGGACCCTTCTGGAGGATTGGTGTCTTGGAGTCCTAAGACAGACTGACCCACAGAAAAGCTGGTGGGAGAGGGCTGGCCATGCAGGTGCTGGGCAGGGCCACACCCTATCTCTCCCAGGCAGTCTTGACAGTGTGGTAAACCCACCCTCTCCTCCCAACCTCACAGGATGGTCGTGATGCCCATCGCCCAAGAGTACTCTCCAGACCTGGTCCTGGTGTCCGCCGGGTTTGATGCTGCTGAAGGTCACCTGCCTCCACTGGGTGGCTACCACGTGTCTGCCAAATGTAAGGAGGGCCAACCTAGGGGGAGGGGGCATACTGGCCGTGCTCGGGTGGGAGGTACTGCTTAAGCTCAATGAAAAGTTGGCATTGGCCAGGCCAGGTCTGGGAGTGTGAAGACAAGGTGTGGTCACAGGCCTGGGATTTCCTGGGCTCTGCCAGCCTAGCACAGCCCAAGGCACTTCTTGTGGCATAGCTTGTGCTTCTGATCAGACCTCTGGGATTTAAGTCCATTAGGCCTCTGACGAAAGTTCAGTCATAGAGTCCCGCCTCCTATTGTGTTGGTCCCTGGCTGAGCTGCCAGCTTCTCCAGAGGGCGCAGAAGGAACAGCGTTCCCAGGACAGGACAGGGCAGGAGATCGTGCAGCTTAGTGACACAGACTCCGGCTGGAGCCACTGTCTCTGTTCCTTGTCCTCACCTTGCCACTAATGAGTTGTGAGAGCTTGTGCAAGTTCTGTAATTTCTCTGAACGTTGCACAAGGTGTGTTGCTTTGGTTGGGTGCTTTGGAGTTGATTTTGACTCATCCTGATCCACTGTGCCACAGTCCCCCCCACCCCCTAGGGTTTCCTAGTCTGTAATCTCGATGGCAGCAGATTGCCAGGTCTTTCTGCTGCAGCAGTGCTGAGTGGGTTTGAACTGCCAGCCTTTTGATTAGGAGCTGTTCATTGAACCATAACACCTCCAGGACTACTTTGAATGAAGCATCCTGCTAGGTTTTGTATGAGAGTCAATGAGACAGTACTTGAGTCATAGCTTAGAAGAGGAGCAAGCAGGCAAACAACAGAGGGAAGGAGTGGGTTGGCTTCCCCTCCACCCTGCTCCCTTCTGTTTCTTTCCATTCAATCATCTAGGTTTTGGGTTCATGACACAGCAGCTAATGAGCTTGGCAGGAGGCGCAGTGGTGCTGGCCTTGGAGGGTGGCCATGACCTCACCGCCATCTGTGATGCCTCCGAGGCCTGTGTGGCTGCTCTTCTGGGCAACAAGGTGAGTTGCTGCTGCTGCCGCCTCCCATGCACACACCTGTGGGCCAGGTGAGCTAGGCTCTTCCAGCTAGTGCCAGGGGGAGCAGGCAAACGGGGCACCTTCTCTATAAGTAAAGCTGGGGGCCTGGAGAGGGGTGGACAGAGTGGGTACCTCTACCCCAAGTCAGGCCCCAGGCCATTGCCTCCTGACCTCAGCAGAGGCCCCTGAGCCCTGAGAGATGGTGGCTGAGATTCTGTTTTCTGTAGGTGGATCCCCACTCTGAAGAAGGTTGGAAACAGAAACCTAACATCAATGCCATCCGCTCCCTGGAAGCTGTGATCAGGGTGCACAGTGAGTGTGGAGAGGACCCTGCTCAGAGCAGGGCAGCCTCATGTAGATCTGGAAGAGCCTCAGGCCCCCACTGCCCCAGAGACCACATCCCAGGGCTTCTTAAACCAGCTCCTGCAAACTACCCCAGCAGTAATAATGAGATAACACCCCCATGGGCAAATCCCCTCTGAGCCCTCCAGATGAGCCTGGCAGGGCTCTCCTCAGAGGCAGAGAACTGTTCCCACTTCGCAGCCAGAGCCCGAAATTGGGGCCAAGGCAACAGCAACACACAGGCCTTGTTTGCGCCTGCCTCAGCCCACAGTCCTTGTCTCAGGGACTGTGCTGGCATTTGTCCTAGGCCTTGCAGTCACTCCCCCGCTGCCTTGCATTTGGAAAGACCTGTGCATTTTCAATCTCAACGTGCACATCTCTGTGAAGCCCTGGACTTCTACTGAGAATAAATGCTGGTGAGGGATGCCTCAGCACAGGCCCAGTAGGAAGCATGTTTAATAAAGACATAGTCGTGCTGTATATGGAACCTTACATTGTGCCAGGTCCTGTGCTGGGTGTGTCTGATACAATTTCTCACCACAGTGGGCGGGGTTATCATTCCAAAGGTACCTGGCAGCGGAAGCCCATGTCGGGCAGGTGGGTTTCTGAAGGCCACTCTGTACTCATGTGTGCAGGGCTGAGTGGGGGCTGCTGAGACCTCTTGCATCAGGAGACCAGGGCTTGGGCGTGGGGATCTGTGAGGACCCAAACAGTCCTGCCAACATATGTGCCCATGGTGCCCTTAAGAACCGCATGTCCATGGGAATGGGCCTGAGTTGGTCTTTCATGTAAAAGGGGTGCGAGAAGGGCCCCCCTGTGGCCATGTTGGACCTGCTCTCCTCACCAGGTCAGGGCTGCAGGAGCGCAGTGGAGGTGGTAAAGAGGGTGGAGAAGTGCAAATGTGGGAGCTTAGTCTAGGTTGAGGACACGCCCACCACCCCAGGGCCCAGCCTCTGCTCCAGTGTCAGGTTTACAGGGTAGGTGTGGTGGGATGGAGGGGCTTATTTTCCTCACCCTTTCTAACCTGACTTCTTGTCCCAGGTAAATACTGGGGTTGCATGCAGCGGCTGGCCTCCTGTCCAGACGCCTGGGTGCCCAGAGCGCCAGGGACTGATCCAGAAGAAGTGGAGGCGGTGACGGCATTGGCTTCACTCTCTGTGGGCATCCTGGCCGAAGAAAGGTAATGCCTGACCCCTGGCTCTGGGAAACAACTTTTCTACTCTGTGCATTTTCCAAACCCAAGGATCTCAGATCTCCAGCCCACACACCACAGCCTTCCTGGACTTCGTGACCATGGCTGGAAGGGAAGCTCAGCTTACCCTGTTCCTGTCCCTAGGCCCTCAGAGCAGCTGGTGGAGGAAGAAGAACCTATGAATCTCTGATGCATCAGAACAGACCCTTGCCCTGTGGACCTAGCTCTCTTCCAGCCTCTGAAAATACCTGCTCCCAAGGTCTTCAGACACCTGAGAGAGGGTGGTTGGGGCAGAAAACAGCCTGCTTTGCCATCACCCCAGGGAGCCCAAGAAGATCCCTGTGTCTTGGATGGGGACAAAAAAAAGACTCTGAGGAAGCAGGCAGAGCAGCCCTTAGAGTCCCACAGGATGCTCCCCAGAACACGTTCTGCCCCTCAGGATCTGTGCCCCTGGCTGTGGTCCCTGTTCCTCAGAACTTCACAGAAGACTGGCTTTGTTGGGCCCCACCCTTAACCACTATTCTTGGCTCCAAAGACCCGGGACTTTGCACACGCAGGCTCCACACAGAAATGTGAATTTGACCATATCCAGGACAGCCCTTCCTAAAAGGGGGTCAGAGGAAGAGCCCCTAAGTGGGGAGGGAAGCTAAGGGTCCCATAATAACCCTGAGTGCAGGGGGAGTCTCTCCTCTCACCAGCTTCTTCAGATGACTCTGGAAGCTTCTACCCTCCACCACGGGGTGTGGAGATGAAGCTCCCTGAGAGCATTCACTGACAAGCCTCCCTCCCCAGTCCCTGCCCTTGCCAGAGGCCACCCTGCGTGGACCACCTCAGTGCCTGGTGGAGTGGGGCGGTGCTCTCAGAGTCCCGTGCTTCCCAATCCAATGGTGCCAAACCCTTCATCTCCCCCCGGAAGCATAGCCTGGCCCCCAGGGATGCCCAGTCATACCCTCCCACCATGAGCCTTGTCTCTTGATGGGCTCTCCCTCACCCCACTGATACCTGCCCCACATAGGACTACCCTGGCTGAGGGGCAGAGGGTGGGGAGAGAGTAAGCAGGATGTGGAGAAGGGGAGGCTGCCTTGCAAAGCCTTCAAGGCTTCTGGGGTCCAGAAGGAAAGTATTGTGTTTGTGTGTGAGTGTGTGTGTGCACGAGTGCGTGTGTGTATGTGTGCATGCTTGTACATGTGTTCTCCGGACCTACCATACCTTGTGTATGTGTGCATGTTTTTATAAAAAAAGTTTTAAAATAGAAAAAAAAAATCCAAACAATAAATGTTTTATTTGCTTTAAAATTATAAATAATAAGGGCCCCAAAGAAGTGACAGGTTGAGCTGGGGTACATACAGTCCCTTCCATATCACTTTGCTTCTCCAGGGCAGCTGCCCTGCAGGACGCAGCTACTCGGAGCACACCCAAGCTTCTTCTGCCTGGTCTCCCTCAGGGGACTGGAAGGGAGGCAGCTCTGAGCTGAACCGAGACAGAGCTGGGGCAGAGGGCCCAGCCCAGGTGTGTGTAGGGGTGGCACAGATGTTCATTCAGAGGTGGGGTGGCTTACTATGGCAAAGTGCTATGAATCAGACATCTCTGGGTTTACAGCCCAGCTGGGAGTTCAGGTAAGCCATATCATCTCCTGGGGCCTCTGTTTATCTGTAAAAGGCTCCAGAAATAGACATTGTTTTGGTTCTTTCCTGTTCTAATATGCCATAACTCCTTAGTAGACACTGAGCCTAGAAGAGAATGGGTGAGGCAGCAGGCCTGGGCAAGCTCACCCAGTAAAGCAAAGAGGAAGGCCCAGCTGCCAGAGCCTGCCTGCTTCTAAGTTACCAGGCTTTTCCAGCCTCATTACCTCAGACCTGGCCCCCAAGCCCCTGCAGCTTGGGAGAGTGAAAGGAATAGGGAACCTGGGGCCCATCCCCTCTCCATGTGGCCTGGCCTCTCAGGGTGAGACAAGAAATCCCATGGGGTGGCTGTGGCCACAGGCATCATCCTGGTAGAGGAAGGGGCTGAGAGCCAGAGGGGAGCTAGTAGGTCCCCCTCAGGCCAGAAGGGCCTTCAACTCAACATACAGACCCCTCCCTTGCTTTCCAAAGCAGTCTCCACTAGGAAACAAACAATCTCAAGAACCCCTTATCCCACCACACCCCCCAGATTCCCACCCCACAAGAAACCACCAGAGACTGACTGATACAAATAGCTGCTGTATTTCTGCTAAAGTGACAGTGACACAGATAAGGCAAAGAGTTGAGGGCAGGACATCAAGGGGGAGGAGGGAAACTGTGCAAAATGGCAACTGAACATAAAGAGATTCAAAAAGAATCCCTTCCCTCTCTGTTAGGTAAGCCCCCGGGCCAGTGCATGGGCGGCTGAACAGACTGTCCCTCAGGAGGGAAAGGGGGAAAATGATGCCAGCTTTAGGGGGACAGTGAGTAGGACTTGACATGGGAAGAAGTTATCACGGCTGGGGTGGTCTGGGCATAGGGAGGGGCTAGTGTGAAAAGTCAGAGACGAAACAATGGGGATGCCTGCACACAGCCTTGGGCTCTTTCCAGCCCGCGCCCCTCTGTCTACCCCCAAAGGCCTGACTGTCAACTGCCCTGCTCTGGGATGTGCGAGTGTGTGCTGAGAGTGGTGACAAATGACCACTTGGCTCTAGCACACCAGGGAGACCAGTTCTGGGTGCTTCAGGGTGGGGGGAGGGCCACTCATCCTCTGCTCAACAACTCCCCAAGAGCCCAGGAATTAACCATAAGTGCTGTGGGGGGCAGGGGTGGGGTAGGGTGGTGAATGATGTCTGGTAGAGTGGCTGCACTTGACCAGGCTGTCACCCTGGCCTCAGGGGGACAAATGACCTGTTTGCTGCTCTCAGGCAGAGATAAGGTCCTTGACCTCGTGTCCTGGCCGGGCCTACAAAGACTCCTCCTCACCAAATTCTTAGAAAATAGATCCATTTGAAAAGGTCTACTCAGCCAGGATGAAGAACAATATGGCAAGAACCACCTTTTCACCACATTTGGGTCTTCCTTGAAGCAGGACAGAGCTATTTCCAGAGGACCACACTCCTGCTGTGCATGGTCAGCCGCATTTCTGGGGTCCCCAGGGTGTGGGGCAGGTCTGCTCAATCTCTCAGAGGCTGAGTCAAGGTCCTGAGGACCCCCAGGGGGCAGAGTCCTCACCCCAGGGTCAGAAATCACTGAGGATGCTAATGTCGGCAAAGTCGGCCCTGTACCGGTGTGCGTAGAGGCTGAGCAGGAAGGCCCACTTGAAGGCAATGAAGCTCCATACACAGGAGAGGTAGTAGCTGTTGGGGTCCATGAGGCCTGTGGGAGAACCAAAAGTCCAGAGCTTGACTCAAGAGGGCTCTACCAGGTCACAGTCCCTGAGCCAGTCACTCTCCCTGCAGCGCTGGTCAGCTGAATCAATCCTACAGAAACTGGAACGTGATAGAGGTTTGGGGAATCCCAGGGTTCGGAGGGAGATTAGAAATGGCAGAGTTAGGGAAGGTCATCATCTAAACCCTTTCTAGCCTGATTTAGCATCTCCCCGGCAGGGACAGGGGCCTTTTTGGCTAGTTCCTGGGCACAGCCGCCAGAGGGCACTCCTATCCCAGAGCTGGGCAGAAAGCCTAATGGCACCACCATCACGTGGTACTTCCACGAGCCACACACCGTGTGAAACATGTCACGTGCATTTCCTTGAATCCTCTTGGGTGGGGACTCTAACTTTTCTGAGGATTAGTGATCTGTCCAGAAGAAAAGGACCTTATCCTAGGTCAAGGAGCCCTTACTGACAAAGGGGCTTGAGGTCAGAGATCTAACACACCAGCTACCCAGGAGGAGAAAGATGTAGCAGTCTGTGTCTGTAAATATTTACAGGCCTTGAAACACTATGGGGCAGTTCTGTTCTGTCATACATGGTTGCTGAGTCAGAATCCACGCGATGGCAGTGGGCTTGGGTTTACTCCTCCCAAGTGACCCTCACCCTGGGGGCCAGCCCACCCAAACCCTCCCTGGAACAGCTCTCACTCTGGTGCTGAGTAATGGCCAGCACGAGGAAGGTGCAGAAGGCAGCGACTGAGACGGCTGAGAAGAGGACACCCACGAAGAAGAAGCCACGCAGCCCCTTGAGCCAGGTCCTCCAGTAATCCTGCATGTACATGATGTGTGTCACCAGTACCCAGAGCGCCAACACACCTGTGGGGACAGGTTCAGTCAGGGTGGGGGGGACCCGGGCCCTCCATCCCTCCAAGCAGCCCCTCCTCACCCCACCGTCACTCACTGACCCTTCCTGCAGTGACACCTACTAGATCTGACTTATTTGCATAATAATACAGTAAACCTATGAAAGTCAAAAGATGGAAACCTGTCAAAAAAGGAAAACTCAAATAGCTGCCATTATAATGAGATTTGGGGAAAAAAACCAAACTCCCATGGGAGTCTGGCTCTCATAGGTTTCCCTGTGTTTCCATCAGACTGGTCTTTGTAGGCCCACTATCTCACGGATGCTCTGCAGAATATTCCACAGCCCACTACCTGTGATATCATCTCAGCACATACGCAAATACAGATAAACTAATCTAGCAGCCTTCCCCTTAGGCCAGGCACTAAAGAAATTTCCAAGTATATAACTGTAACACTGTCGTATATTTTTTTCCATGGAAAACAGAACTATTTCTTACAAAAATGTTATTTGTGTTAATGTTGTGTTTTTTTAAAACCAAAATAAATGGCTGGTGATGAGTTAGTTTTGACTCGATGGCAAGGAGAGAATTTTAAAATACTACTCCGAGACATTTTAAAATGCCTTCTGTTTTAATATTGTATGCCACTGAGTCAGAACTAACCCACAGCTGACTCTCCAGTGGGTGGGTTTTCAGAGAAAGTGGATCACACAGAAGCAGACTCATTCTCCCATGGAGCAGCTGCTGAGTTTGAACTTTGTGCCTTTGGGATTGCTGCAGAGCTTCTTGTCACTAGGCCATCAGAACTGCTAGAATGTTACTATTTTTCAAGAGTGTATCAAGTCAACTCATTACCATTGCAACAACAACCCTCCATCTGGTATCTGAGGCTGTGAATCCCAGCAGGAGGACACTGCCCATCTCTCTCCCAAGAACTATGAGAGATGAAGGGCCTTTGGGGTAGGTGTGTAACTCGCTACAGACTATGCCACCAGAATTCCCTTCAAGAGTATCTGGTGGCCTAGTGGCAAGAGGCTGTGCTGCAATCCTGAAGGCACATCGTTCAAATCCACCAGATGCTTTGCTGGAGAAGGAGAATCCCACTTGATGGTACACAACAAGTAGTGGGGGGAAAAGTAAAAAAAAAAAAAAAGGTATGTAGGGATCTGAAACAAACCACGGCAGTCTGCTCTGCTTTTCTGGGACTCCCTACTAATTACCCTGAGAGTCACAGACATAGGGAAGCTGCCTTCCCTCCTACCTCAGTGTACCTTAGATCTCATAGTCTCTCCAGGCCTGTGGCCAAGCTCTGGAGCAGTAAGGTTCTTCCCAAACTCCGCATTGTTCTTACAGGACAAACAGGCCCAGCCTCGACAGGTGGCCAGATCTTTGGCCCCAGAGGGCTACCCTGGGCCCAAGTGGCCTCCTTCTAGCTCTTGGCCAGACTCCATGCCCCTCCTTCCAGTTTTTGGCAGCATTTCCCTGAGCCAGCCCTCCAGGCCTGGATGGTCACCTCCTCTAGGATGTCAGCTGATACTCAGTCGACACAATGTGGGCCTTCTGTGCCAGGCAGTGCCGGCTGGCACAGCCCAAGGGATGGAACAACTATCAGTTCCTTTGGCAAGCAGGAGGGAATGAGAAAAGAGGCAGAGCCAGCTATACGCTCTTAGCCTTCTGGCCTAGGGTGGGGTGGGCCACACAGGCCAGGGACCCAGGGGTCAGGAGACTTTTCAGTGAGGTTGCAGGACACGCTTCTGTGCTTCTGACATGTGTATAGTGTGGATAAGCATCGGGTGAGGAAAAGCAGTTATCTCTGGCCAGCAAAAGAAGGAACGGGTGCTGATAGGGGTTGCGGGTGGAGAGAACTCACTGGCTGAATTAACAGTGTTTTTCTTCTTAGGCTGAGTGCTGTGATGTGTGAGCATGTTTTAAAAATCTTATATACTTTCTTACATGCCTGAAGTAGTTAATGTTTTCAGTTGGTAAGAAGGAAAAGGTAAGAAAAGTATCTTCTGGGAGTAGTAGTCTGGGTACCGGCTCAAAATGGTCACAGTTTAGGTGCCTGGTGAGGAGAGAAAACCACAGCCTGTAAACTAAGCAGTCTGGGGCCTGGTTGCTGCAGGGCTGTTCACCACTCAAAGCCTAGGCATTTCCACATCCACGAACAGTGAGCCCAAGGGTCTCTGAATGTAGGGTTCTCTCCCCATGAGGGCAGGAGCCCACAGCTTGCTCCTCATTGTTTGACCTCACTCCCCTCAGTCTGCCCCTGCCACCCTCAGCCTTCCTAAGGGGCTGGAGATCAGGAACCTGGGTCCTTTTAGCCCTGAAGTCAGGGTGAGGCAGGACAAACATGTCTCCCTCCCTCCCTAGATAGGAAACTGGGGCAGACCAGTGGAGGGCCTCCACTCAAATCTTATATAATCGAGATTTCATGCTGGCCACCTTTCCCAGAATTTTTATTCCTCTCAAGTATATCTCAAGGGTTTTTGTTTGTTTGTTTGTTTATCATGAAGTGGTGTGGAGGGGCTATTTCATTTCTTAAAGGGCCCTAGGAAGATGATTTCTTGCACCGAGCACATTCCAGGAGCACCTGTCAGGTACATACACGTCTGGATAGTTCACACACCCTCTGCTTGGGTAGATCAGAAGATGAGCTCTGTGATCTTTTCCTATTTGAAGTTTCTGAAAGCCAGCATAGAAGAAAAACAAGGAGGTCAGAGCAATTCCCCTATGACTCAGCATTTTGGGGTTAGAAACTGCTGAAATAACAGCCAGTGAGTATGTCACATTTTAGTCTAGTGGTCATGCTTATACATATACACACAACTACCAAAAATGGTTGAGACAAGAGGAAAGCAGAACGGCACTGACCCATCCTCCCCTTCCCTAACCCTGCTCTAGTCCCTGTACACAGTCCTCACCTTCAGGCCAATACATGCCAAGTGTGGAAGCACTCACTCAGCTCCTACCTGTTCCCTTCCACACTCTTTACTAGATTCCTGGCCAGCACACCTGGCCACACAATTCAGGGCAGAATGACCAGGTCCCAGGCCATAAGTTACATGCAGGAGCAGACCTCACTCCTCAAACCACCCTCCCTGCTCCTAGGAGCCTATCAGCTGAGACACAGAGAGGGTCAGTGAAAGTATCTGAGGAGGTGGGCTAGAGGCAAGCCAGGAGAAGCTCCAGGGAGTCCACAGGGGCTTCAAGCTTGAATCCAGGGCTGTTTACACTATTGAGGCAACTCTTCTATCCTTCCTCTCTTTCCTTGGTCTACTAGACATAGAGCAAAAATCTGTATTTCTCTCAGCATTCCTACATCAAAGCCAAAAGTGGAGGCCAATTCACATTGCTCAAGAAAACTGGCTTTTGTTTTGAGACCATCTTTCCTCGAAGCCATTTCTTTGCAGGTACCTATCAGGGTGGAGGAGTTTGTCCTCACCCAGGGATGTTCTTTCTTCCCTCTGATCTCATGGGCTCCATGGCTGACACCCCTGATCAACTTGCGCCTGATCCCACACATGGGTGAACTGAGGTGGGGACTGTCCTCTCATGACTCAGCAGTTTCTGGGCTGGAAAGTGCTAAGTCAGAAGTGGGGTGCTCACAAGTCAGCAAAACCACTGATGCTTCCCCCAAAAAGAGGAAGGCTAACTGGCTACAGGCCAGCTCAGCACGAGGTGTGAAGCTGATGGTCCTGGTCAGGGACTACCTCCTACCTGCCTCAAACAGCTCTAGCACTTCCATAGTCACTTTCTGGTTGTCAACAGTCAGAACTGTCAGAGAAGCAACACAGGGCCCCAGCTGGTGGCTGCTAGCATCTCTCCCTGCAGGGGACTCACAACTAGCCAGCCTCAGATGCTGAGAGAAACTGCAGAGGGCAAGAGGGCAGAGGGAAACCTCAGGGGACTCCTAGGAGATACCAGAGGGTCTTCTCTCCATGATTCAGAAAACAGGCATCAGAACTGCAGACACAGCATGGAATCAGAGATCATTTCTTTACAGACAGCACCTCCCACTCCATACAGATGAGGAAACCGATGCCCGCTGGAGGCTGTGCTAAGGAGGACTTTCCTCCTCTACCAGGCCAGACTCCAACACATCCAGCCCAGATCGCAGGGTAGGCCTTCCCTCTCCAACCTTGTTTCAGGCCTTATGTAACCATTGGGGGGGGGGCGGGTGGAGACAGCAGGCCTCATACCTCTTTCCAAATGGGAAAGCAGTATGGTAAATAGGAAACAGAAAAAGAAAAGAAGCTTTGAGAAGTGAATTTTGGACAGTGTAGTGGAGGCACTGTGAGAAAAGGAACAGGGATCTGCAGATAAATGAGATGGGCTGGCTGCCCCTATTATGGGGAGGAAATCCACAGGTGGTACAGAATCTAGGCAGACACAGGAAACTTCCAGCCAGGCCCCCCACCTATCCTTACTTGCGGACCTCCAGTGGTTTGCTTGGTTTGTTTAGGTTGTGACCACGCAGGCCCTTCTGTAAAACAAAAATCCCATTTCCCATTCTTTCTCCACACCGATGGAGCTCAGTAAACTTAGAGGCAATGAGCAAACCTAGTTTGTTTCAGTTTTCCCAGCTAGGGTCCTTCTGGTAGAAGAATAAAATCTTTATATGTAAAAGTATTTTCCTTGTCTTCTTTTACCAAAGTACTTTTTTGACATATTGTTTCATCAAGCTATGTAACACTGGACAAGATATGTATTTACTGTAAATCTCAATTTCCTCATCTAGAAAATGGCACAATTATGCTTATTTCATACTTGTATAGATGAACTGAGATAGTAGAAATAAGTAGTTTTAAACATTGCTTAGCAGCTGGAAAGCATCAAAACAACAACAATGCTAGCAAAGAAAAATTTGTGTTGTTTTCACAGCAATTCTGCAGCCGAAAAGTAGACTAGCTTGTCCAAAAAAGATGCACAGCAAGTCCAGGGCCCCCCATGAACATGAGCACTCTAGCACTCGTCTTCCCTTCCCTTCTGAAGGCACAGAAAAAGCTGTCAACAGGGGAAGCACACCCAGCACCAGAGCCACAGCAGGGAGTTTGCAAAGAGACACCAACGTGGGCGTGAAGAAGGGTTTTGGTTCTCATTGGATCCCTAGGTCGTCTTGGTCTCCCACAAGGGTGCTGCCGGCGCTGGGGAGAAACCACTTGAGGGAGGCAGACAAGCTTCAAAAAGAGCCGCCAGCCTTTCTTCTTGGTGCTGCTCCCTGCCCTATTTATCCTTTGCCCTCGGCCAGCACCGGGAAAGGAGAGTTGGAGGGCTGGGATTGCTCCGGGCAATGAGTATGCTTGCGTACACCAGCAGAGTAAAGGGAAGGCGAGAGAAGGAGGCGCGCAGTGAGGATGAAGTAAAGGCGGAGGAGGCTGGTGGAAAAGGTGTAGAGATGAGACTGTGCCTAAGGTGACAGCAGAGGGGGTGGACGCGGTGGAAGACAACGCAGGTTTGTGCAAATGGCAGATGTCCGAGGCTGACACCCTGATGACGCTCTCGGGTCCCAGGGGCAGTTGGAGAATGCCCAGAAGGGCAGGCTGGCGGGACGCTGCCCACGGACGGCCTGGGTAAACACCCCACCCGCTCCCCCGGGAAGCGCCTCGCAGAGCAGCAGACAGCACCCTCCCGGCTGCGCGCCCGCTCCGGGCTGGGAGCAGGGACGTGAGCGCCCCCAAGTCATCCCTGTAGGTACCTGCGAGTCCCCCCATGGCTGCGGTCGCCGGCTGGCTGTAGACGACTGTCCAGACGAGGAAAACGGAGAAGCCAGCCACAGAGCTGATGCCAGAGTAGGCGGCGCGGAGGCCGAGGTGCAGCCGGGACGGGGCCATGGGGCTGCAGAACCCGGGAAGCCTCAGCGCAAAGGCAGCCACCGAGCAGCAGAGTCGCAGGTGCAGGGCCTGAGCCCCGAGCCGCCGACCGCCCCGCGCTCCGCCCCCGGCCCGCCCCCGGCGGCACCACACAGCGCCCCTTCTGGCCGGAGGCCGCCTATGCTCCGGGCTGACAGCATCTGATGCCTCAGCACGACAGGTTCAGGCTACCGTATCTTTCTGGAGGATACTGTCGTTATAGTTGTTTTTTAAGTGTGATAGCCATCCTATGAACAACAGATGTGAATCCTGCTCTATCCTGCACCATTCTCATCATCCCTGATTAACTCGAGCTTATTGATATAGCTTTTTTTTAATTTTAAAATTTCCAATATTTTTCCTTCCTCATCTTCAGTATGTCAGTTTTCTTTTTTTTAATTGTTATTAAATTTTATTAGTTTTAATGAACATTTACAGGGATTTGGGGTTTTCATTCCTTCATTGCTGCACCATTCTCCCTACCCTCCTCCCCAGTTTGTTCTTCTTCCCCCGATATCCGAATGTCTATTTTAATTGTCCAATTGCCACAGTGCTTGTCAAAGTCAGTTCTGATTAATCTCCTTTGTCAGTGTGTCCTTTGCCATTCCCTATCACTCCTCCCTGAGAGAGACTTCACCCTGATTCATAAGGAAAAGGGGATGGCGTATTCTCTTAGCTACTTCCTGCTGAAAAGGGACGCTGTGGGTTTCAGGGTGAAGATCTTCTCTCACTACTCTAAAGGGCCCCTTTGGCAGTAGGAAACACATAGACTATTATGGAGATTGATTTTGGAATTCAGATGCACTCTTATTGATTGTGCTTGCCTGTACATGTACATATCCTTGAAGATGTATCATGGGGGTGTTGCAACCTAGAAGACACAAATTTGACTAACAAGTTATAAGTATATGAGTCAAAAATTATGGAAAAGTAAAAGAAAAGATTCTTTCATTGTTTTACAAACCCTCCCCCAGGTCCCCTCCACCATGTAGCCATTGCTCTAGACTCCTGTGATGACAGAAATACCTAATCACATATCTCTTTTAAACAGTTTTCTCCCTCCTCTGTTTCAGTGCAGTATACATTATTGAACCCATCTTACTCAGTCTCTCCCCAACCCCGAGGTTAGTCCCATTCTACAACAGTGGCATCATGTAATATTTGTCCTTTTGTGACTGGGATATTTCACTCAGCATAATGTTCTCCAGAGTCAACCATTTTGAATAATATTGCATGAGTTCCTTGTTTTTCAATGCAGCATAGTATTCCATTGTGCAAATATACCACAGCTTCTCTAGCCATTCGTTTGTTGATGGGCACTTAGGTTGTTTCCAACTCCTTGCTATTGTGAACAAAGCTGCAATAAACATGGGTGTGCATATATCTGCTTGGATGTCAGCTATGGTCTCTTCAGGGTATATTCCCAGTAGTGGAATTGCTGGGTCAAATGGTATCTCTATTTGCAACTTTTTGAGAAAGCGCCATACTGCTTTCCACAGGGGTTGCACCATTTTATACTCCCACCAACAGTGAATCAGGGTCCCAGTTTCTCCACAACCTCGCCAGCATTTGTTGCTTGCTGTTCTGTTAAATTTTGCTATTTTGACTGGGGTGAAATGATATCTCATAGTTGTTTTAATTTGCATCTCTCTTAGGGCTAGGGATTTTGAGCATTTCTTCATGTGCTTGTTAGCCATCTGAATGTTGTCTTCAGTGAAGTGCCTGTTCATATCCTGTGCCCATTTTTCTATTGGATTATTTACCTTTATCTTGTTGTGGTGCTCAAGTATTTCATAAATTCTGGATATAAATCCCTTATCTGATATGTTATTACCGAATACTTTTTCCCAGTCAGTGGCTTCCCTTTTTACCCTATTGGAGAAGTTTTTGGATGTGCATAGGGATTTGAGTCTTAGAAGATCCCATTCATCTACGTTATCTTCTCCTGGTTGTAGGTTTTCCAGGATACTGGGAAGACTGTCTATGTTGTGGATTAGGACTTCTAGTGTTGTTCCTAGCTTTTCTGTAATGAAGTTTATAGTCCTTGGTTTTAGTCCTAGGTCCATGATCCACCTTGAGTTGGTTTTTGTGTATGGAGTGAGGTGTGGGTCTTGCTTGAGTCTTTTGCAGATATTTTTCCAATTTTGCCAACACCATTTGTTAAAAAGGCTGTCGTTTCCCCACTTCACTGATTTCATCTCCTTGTCAAAAATCAGTTGACCAGAGATAGATGGGTTGATCTCTGGATTCTCAATTCGATTCCATTGATCTATGTGTCTGTCACTGTACCAGTACCATGCTGTCTTTACCACTACGGCAGTGTAGTAGGATTTGAAATCAGGGAGTGAGATACCTCCTACAGTTCTTCTATTCTTAAGGAGTGCTTTGCTTATTGATATAATTATGGTGTGGATCTATCTTGTTGAGGGTGTTCATCTCTTTCATTGACCCTCCACCTTTCCAAGTGTTGTGTCTTTTTCCAAAGACTGTCCCCTCCTAACAACATGCTCAAAGACTAAGTTTCACTGTTCTTGCCTCTAAGAAGCACCCTGATTGCACTTTCTCCAAGACCTGTTTGTTCTCTTGGCAGTCCATGGGATATTCTGTACTCTTCTCCAACATCACAACTCAAAGGCTTGGATTTCTTTTCTGTCATCCTTACTCACTGTCCAACTTTCAGATACATAGCAAGTAATTAATAAGGCCATGGCTTGAATCACCTTAGTCTTTAAACTAATATCATTACTCCTTAATACTTAATTGTGCTCGTGTGAAACCTATACCTAGACCAAGAAGTTGTTGTCCAGAGTATAGAAGTACACAGAGTAAGAGAACACAAAAGTTTAATATCAAGAGAGGTATGCATCAGGGCTGTATCCTTTCTCTTTTAATTTTGGGAGGATGTGGGCTAAAAAAGACATACTCCTGAACTCACTCCTAACCTACTGTCTCCAGATATTTAGACCTTGGCTGGTGTATAGGAATATGAATATATACAAACACCTGCAAAGGCCACTTTAAAATTATTCCTGAATAGTAATTCTTGTTCAAGCAGATAGGTCTTGGAGAAGGTGCTGCCAGAGTGCTTCTTGGAAGCACAGTTAGGCCATGTTGCTAGGAGAGGGTATCATGTTTGGAAAGGTGGCAGGATAGAGAAGGAGAGGAAAACCCTCAACAAGGCGGATTGACATGATATGTATCAGCAAGTGTGCCAGAGACTTGAGTGTGTCGGAGATTGTGAGGATGGCAAAGGATAGGACAGGGCCAGATCTGTTGTTCATAAGGTTGCTATGAGTCACACTCTACTCAGTAGCATCTAACAAGAACAACAACAATTCTTGTTTAAAGCTTAACATATTTTCAGAATTAAATTACTCTTTTAAATTTCACATTAAAAATTAAAGCATAACCTACAACCAGGAGAGAATAAAGTAAATTAATGGGTCCTTCTAAGAATCAAATCCCTATGCACATCAAAAAAGTTCTCCGGCAGGGTAAAAAGAAAAGCCACATACTGGAGAAAAATATTTGGTAATGATTGTGTG